CGCCAACGACTTCGCCTTCCTCCGCCAACGTTTCCTCGCCTGCGCTACGTGACAGAATACGGATGAAGCTTTGTTCATCTAGCGACCGGTCCCTGAAGGGTCGAAGTTTCGGATAAAGCTTTGTTCATCCAGCGACCGGTTCCTAAATCGTCGAAGTTTCTATTTAACCTTCGCGAGAAATTCATGAACTCGAGAGCGCGAAGTGTTGTATCACTCAAAAATCAAGCTCATGATCTGATTTCTTTCTACGTGTGGTGCGGCTAGCTATGAGACAACCGAAGGTCAAAGACAATCGGTGTAGCACAAAAAATTACTTACAGTGAGCAGAACCGCTTTTATGAAGCTGCGATAGCTTCGGTGTAGGACATGAGATCGACCGAACTGATTAGCAAAAAAAAATCGCTTAATGTCTGGAGCTGAACACGCAAGACTGAAGCTATTGCGTATCGCAGCTTTGTTCCGCACCATTGTCGCCTCTAGTATTGGTTCATGACTCATAATAGCTCCTTTAGGAATGCAGTGCTCAACTCCCAAACCATTTCGACTTTTAGTCGATTCCTGTTCCATATGACGCAAGCCCCGCTATACCTAACATGGGATTGTATGGCGGTTCAAGATCTAATAAAGAAATCACCTATGGCGTCGATCACATATATTTCGAAGGCTACAGCAAGAGGCGTTCTGTGTATGCTAATTACAAGCCATATGCAGCTACGTTTGTGGCGCAGAATGCTGATTTTTAGAAAAGACAAACTGCATACGAACATTGTCGGCTGTACTTTTTCTGGTACCCTCGACATAGTTGATGATTGTTGTCAACTTTCGGTATGAGACAACAATCTCTCTGACAAACAGCTGTTTTTTGATGGTATGTTCTGGGCTGTCTAACGCACCAGGGGCACTCAATAATTGGTGACACTGTTATTAAGCCCGCATCGTGGCTATAAACAAGCCTTTTTCGATTATTTATTCGTCTATAGTTGAGCAGAGCACAGTAGGACAAATGTGTAAAAACACATTACTGTCGCGAAAGTGCTTAGGTGTATGGGACTCGATTATTTATCCTTCAACATAGACAAGTATGATATTGGCAATGTAAACACCCTTTTGTGATGCTTTTGCCTTCAATCAGATCCAGCAAAGATATTAGTTGTTAAAGACTGACCAGTACCTCTGTGCCAAAAGTGCAGCGAAAATTATATCGGCATGGTATGACCCCTCATTAATCTCTCAATAAGCAACGTTAAATGCTTTGGGATGCGGTAAAAAAAGGCGGTCTGCAAGGCTGCAAAAGAAAGCCTCATGTGCTCCCCAATTCTGTTTTTTATAAATTCAGATAAGACATTTCATATCGACAGTAACGCTTTAGCATTTGCATCGAGTGTAATGTATTTCGATTATATGCCGATGGGCATCAACCTATACTAACTATTAAATCCCATTACAGTATTTTGCTGAGAAGAATGATCCAGTTTACGATAACGAGCTATCTGCAATGAAGTATGCCTCTTGCGTCAAAAGTGCACATGCTTGAATAAAAACCGTATTTCGCGGTAGACAAACATTCGTTGCACACAGCAACGTCATCATCACATCTTTCGAGAAAGGTGTGAGGATTATCCAGTTTGCCGAGTTGATATGTGAGGTGAAGCTCGAGCCGTGTCACTGAATATGGCGTTGAATAGATATGGACCAGGTCCCATTATCCATGTTGTGTGGTCCACATAGTTGTGTGCGTAATATGTATACACCCTGTAAATATGTATATCCTCTTTAGTTCTGTTGTATCAGAACTGGAGGTACTGATCAGATTAAGGAGGTTTGAATCCAAGTGGCTATGACAATAAATGTCACTTCACTTCACGTAAATTTGTGGCTAGCTGGGAGTGAGTAACACGCGGTGAAGCGTGTCAGTTGACCCGAGCTATTTGTGTTCAGAGATGATGAAATCTCGTTACACTTGGTAGCACCTGTTGGAGATCCCAACGCCGACTATTTCCATGGATTTATCACGGGATAATGTGGACACCATAGGCGGTGATCGTCCTCAGATCGATGGGAAGAAATATTTGTTCCTTACACACTTACAATGTGACTATGTGTTGAAGCTGCAAGCTTAAATCGGAAATGACGCAGTCTCTGTTATGCTCCAATTAGATAAAGAGGCGATAACTCAACGCTCAGCAAAATTTGCTGCGTATGAGCAAAACTTATTGTAATTTTTACCGCAGATCATACCGACACCGATTCCGTTACCTCCTCCACAAGTGACAGTAACACCGTCGGTACATACGGAACATTCTGTAAGAAACATGGCATACAGATTTTCGGGAACGAAGATGAAAGTCTTGCCTTCTGGCAGAAAGAAATGAACATCGCTATCACGATGGCTCAGATTTGTGGAGATTGTAGTCAAGTGGCCTTTGCAATGTTGCATTCAGATGGATGTGCGGAGGATTGGGCAATGACATGGGAACTCGATCGCTCTAGCTACTTTGTCACATGGCGAGAGTTGAAAATGGCCAAGGAGTCGATCTTCCTTCCACCGAATGTGACATTTTGACAGCAGTCGAAGGCTTTCTCATGCCGTTAGGACAGCAGCACATTGTTCGAATATGTACAGAAGCTTCGTGAGCATCGTGCCAGTATGAAAAGCGAACAACTGCCAGAAAAAGTGATGGTCGCTGTGTTTACGAAGGGACTCACTTTTGGTCCTCCTAAGACTGAAGCCTTCTGCCAAAATTCGTCGCCTCTGATAGATGTAGTTATTATTGCATTGCGTGAGGATTATTTTCATCATCAAGCATTTGGTCAATTGTTCAACCTAATTGACTTCTGCTACCGGAACCCTAGAACAAATGATTCTTACGCGGTGACTGACCGTAGGCAGCAAATTCGCTGTCATGGATGGCAATAGTTTGGTCACATTAGCCGTAATCGTCCGCGCGAGAGACGAACCTTTCAATACAGCTCTCATCGTAATGGTTCCGTGTCACGTGGTGCCAATACGACGAGTCGTTCGGGATACGCCGGTACGGTTGTCTACCGGGACAGTTATAAGCTCTTGTATGTCTGGTGGTCGAACCACTCATGAGGGTTTAACCCTCGAATGATCGATATCCTTCGTGAACGACACGGCCTTCTCGTAGTCACAGCGAGTATAAAGGGTTACGGTCGTCCGTTTAGAGTCTTGATTGATTACGGAATGTCGATTAGTATGCGCGGAAGCAAAGTGTTGCTGAATATGACTCAGTGCTTTCGGATGCACTAGGTAGAAGCAATGTCTCGCAGTGAAGCTGGCCACTGGTGCGGTGGTCACCTCGAAGAAGATCATGGTAGATCTTCAACTGATAGTTGAAGACCTCGGAAAATGTTTTTACAATCCTCGTGATGGACAAAAAATGACATAATTTTAGGTATACCGGGGCTTGAGAAACTTGAACAATGGATCAATTGGCGATCGAAAACGATTTAAAGTAGATTTCCTGGCGTAGGTGAAATCCTTGGGAGTAATGAGCGCACAATCACCATGCACCTAAAGAAGCGTTTAACCGCTCGGCAATCGTATGCTGCTGGTAATAATTCATTGGTGTATGTCATCCACTTGACATTCCGCAGTATAAGGAAGATAGGAAGTCGTATGGGAATGTCCACTGGCTGTCACTCAGGAAGCGTGTAGATGGATCAAGTGGTGCACGGAACTAATCACTTGAAAGCAGATGATTAGTTGGTGGGCATGGCAAATTGTCCAACGGAAGAGATTATTGAGGGAGAGCTGCCGGTTGTTGCCACCCTCAAGACAGATGAATGTTGTCGACATATGGGTACTGGAAAGGCAAAGGTATTTACTGCGGCTGTAGATGCCACCACTTCCACTAATACAGTGGTCGAGTCGGATTGTAGGTCAGTGGGTATAACTGATCACAAAGGTGATGCTCCCACTCGTTATGTGGTTGAGCACACACATGTGATGGAATCAGCGGAATTTATTGGTCGCGGTACTGATACCCCCGCTCTAGATGCGGTTGTGTCCGCGGGGAGTCAATCCAGCATACTACTCCCCATAATAGAAATTTAGCATTCAAATATTCTGGTGTAAGTATTGTGGATGCAACGACTGCATCTGTCGTTACAAGAACAGATAATCTTTTAACGCCGCTGCCAACGATGGAAGAGCTGGTGCAGCTCGAGGAAGTCAGTTACGATGACCTCCTTCACTCCCTCAAGCGGTATGGTATTGCGGAATTCGAGTTGTTAAAGTCGAAGGCTGATTCAGCGGAAATATGTTCATAATCAGTTATGGATGATTTTATTATCGAGTTATTTCGACAGCGTGGAGTTGAAGGATCCAACTGTTCCTTGTTATGCACTTGTAATGTAATACAAGAATGACGTCTTTTATGCAAATCTACTCACTCGTCTTCCACCCGAAAGTGGAGTTCGACTGTAAAAGCACTGTCGCGTGAGTAAAAGTAAGCATATCGATTCTTTTATTGCTCAAAAGCAAGCCGCTGGTTTGGTGAGGGAGATCAAGCTCCATCACGGCACACCGACGTTTTGTGTGTGTAAACTAAATGGTAATTGGCGTATCGCTCACGCCTATGACAAGTTAAATGCGCAGATAATTCTAGCGCAGACGCCGACTCCATAGAAGGATGTCATCATCCACAGTATGTCCGGCTGTACACAGTTTAGTGTACTTGATTTGGTTGATGGATATTACAAATCTCGACGAGGGGGGAGGTCATCTCTTTGACGGCAGTTGGTATACCGTCGGTTATGTTATGGGAGTGACTTGTGATGTCACGGGGCCTTTCTAATGCCTAATCAACGTTTAATTGAATGTTCTCACATTTGTTCCAACCGCTGCAACGGTTCGCACAAGCATACTTGAGACGTATTCTTGTTCATTACAAGGACAAAGATAGCAAATCTCATGAACAAAGTAGCCCTTCTCTGCTGTCGACAACGACACGATCATGTCCACCTAAGTTCTTTTGCAATAATCAACTGATTGCTAGCTCAGAAGCGTGAAACACCACGCTAAATGACTTCGTATCATCTGGTAAAGCAAGTAATGGTGCTTCCATTAAACTTCACTTAATTTGAGCGAATGCTTTCTCACAAGTGGATGACTACTCCCATGGTCAGACCTTCTTCAGCAAGTTAGATAGTGGGCGTACCATTTCGGCATAGTTACGTGAGAAGCGATACAGGTAATCAGACAACTCCTCAAATCTCTTTGGTTTCGTGGCGTCGGCCACTCCAAGATTGCTTTGACCTTCTCAGGGTCTGCACGATGACTGTTCATTAACACAACAACGGAGGACCGGAACTCCGTTAGCACCGAAAATTCACTTTGCAAGATGCGCTTACAAAGAAATTTACGCATACATTTAAGCAACGCGCGGAAGTGTTTCGACTGCATTTATTCGGCAGACAAGGAGCTTTCGGCATCAAAACATGCTTTGGCGAAGTTTCGTGTTTCCCTTTGGGTTCATTTTATTTATCGTCCACACGGATGACGCAAGTTTGCGTTATGTTGTTCAGTCGCCTCACTCGTCAAA